CTGCAGGAGGGCGTTGGCGGCCACGATGACCCAGCCGTAGCCTCCGTCGGGAGCGGCCTGCCGAGGGGGCCCGCCGCCGCACCCACACGCCCCGCCCTCCGCCGCCGCCGCCGCCGCCGCCGCGTGGACTGCATCGCTCGCGTCCACCCAGCCCCCACCTGTTGACGGAGGGGGGGGGCGTCAGATGGTTTGACTGTCACCTCTATGCAATGTTTTTTTTTTTTGAGTGTGAGGGGATAGTCAACTCTATTATAAATATCTATATCCATACATACATATATACATATATATATATATATATATATATATATATATATATATATATATATATATATATATATATATATATATATATATATATATACACATGTATATATATGTATATATATATGTATATATATACACACATATATAAACATACATATATTTTTTTATGAGAAAGGGTGGATAGTCAGTCCTATTCAATAACATATATATTTTTTTCATTGGTTTTGAGGGAAGGAGGGCTAGATGGGGGGGAAGGGGGTCTTTGAATGGATGGGGGGGGTGAATAGGTCAATAAACTGTGCGATGCATGATGGGGAACTAAAAAAAAAAAAAAAAAAAAAAAAAAAAAAAAAAAAAAAAAAAGGGGGGGGGGGAATAAACAATGAACACGTACTGTAAACAAAATAAAAATAGTGTAGCTTTGACACTGCCGGAAGTACATTTAATTATGCAGAACAAAAACACCAAAAAAAAGCGTTTCATAACGGGAGCAATAAAAAATAATCAAGTCAATTGAACACTAAAAAAATATTAACAGTCAATAATAAGTCAAAAAAAAACAAATAATATTAATCAACAATAAAATTCAAAATAATAAGAATCATTATGATAATACTAACAATAATAATAATAATAATGATAATGATAATACTATCAATGATAACAATAACAAAAACAAGAATAAAACAACAACAATAATAATGATAATAATAATATCAACAAGGATAATAATAATAATAATAATAATAATAAGTGACAAGTGATAATGATAATGAAAATTATTATCTTTATCATAATCATAATAATAATCATTATCAATAAAAAAACAATGATAATAATCATCAGTAACAAAAATGAAAAAATAACAACAATAATAATAAAAATCAACGATAACAGAAACCAGAAACAAACAATAAAAAAATCAGAAAAAAGAAAACTCAAATAACTAAAAAAAAAAAAAAAAAAAAAAAAAGAAAAGAAAAAAAAAAAAAAAAAAAAAAAAAAAAAAATCAAATCAAAAACAAAAAAAAATCAAAACAAAAAAAAAAAAAACTAATAAAAAAAAAAAAAAAAAAAAAAAAAAAAAAAAAAAAAAAAACTTACCCGGCGGAGGATTGGAATTGTGCGTTCTTCCGGCCATCACCATAGCGCCGCGTCCATGGTGAGCAGTGCTAGCGAGGTGATGGTGCGGAGAGGGTGGGGATGGTGAGGATGGTGCCGCCCCCCCCACGAGAGAGATGGTGTGGGTGTCGTGGGCGGTGGTGCTCCTGAGGCTGTGTGTGTGGTGTGCCTTGGTGGGTGATTTTTACATTCTGCGAACGAAAAAGGAAACAAAAAAAAAATGTGGGTTGGATTTTTTTTTTTTTGAAGGGGTGGGGGTGGGGGGGGGAAATGTGGGTTGGATTTTTTGAGGGGGTGGTTGGGTGGGTGGGTGGTGAATGTGGGTTAATTTTTTTTTTTTTTGTGGGGAGGGAGGATCGTGGTGGGAAAAAATGTGGGCTGGATTTATTTATATTTTTTATTTTTATTATTTGTTCTATTTATCTATTTATTTATTATTATTACTTTTTTGGGGGGGGGGGGGAAAATGTGGTTTGGACTTTTTTTTTTTTTTTTGGGGGGGGGTAATGCTGGGACAAAAAGTGGGTTTGATCGAGAAACGTATAAAAGATGAGGGAAAAATAAAAGGTGGTGCTTTATTCAAAAATGCTAAATATGATTATGTGTGATTAGAGGATTTATAAAGTCATAATTTGATGAAATTGGGTTAGTTCTCTTCTTTCTCTTTTTCTCTCTCTTTCGTTCGCTCCTTTTCACTTACTTCTCTTTCGTTCACTCATTTTCATTCTTCATTTCAATTTCTTCACTTTCGCTTACTACTTTTTATTGTCTTCTTTCTCAATTGCTTATTGTTTTTTTTTACCTCTCTCTCTTTCGCTCGCTTGTTTTTACTTTATCTTTTCTTTCCTTTTCCACTGCGTCGTCTCCCCTTTTCCGACTTTCTCCCCTTCTTTCTTTGCCTTAAATACTTGTCTCCATCTCTTCTTCCCCTCTCTCTCCCTATCTCCTTATCTCTCTCTTTGTCTCCCTTCTTCCTATTCATCTTCCTCTTCCTTATCCCGTCTCTCCTCTTTTCCTTCCTCTTCCTTAACCCGTCTCTCCTCTTTTCCTTCCTCCCCTGTCTCTCTTCTTTTCCTTCCTCTCTCTCCTTATTCCACCTATCAATCTCCCT